GACCTTTATTATTCACTTCCTGTTTCCGAACCCCTTTCACAATAAAACAGGCTATACACAGATTACACCACAGTAACTAAGTAACTAAGTAATTAATTACTTTTGAAAATAAGTAATCAGTAAAGTAATCGGATTACTTTTTTGGGAAAGCAAAAACGTGGCTTACTTGTGAGCTGGAGTGAGTTAATGCTAGGAGGAGGTTGCCAAGAGAGTTTTCCACAGACTGGGGGTGTTTGAGGAGGAAATGTATCCAGCAGGTTCATTTACTGAGTCCAACAGAGAACAGAGTGGAGGAGGGCGGGCTGGTAGGGGATTCAGACAAACCAAGGTTAGAGGAGCTAAAGGAGCAGGGGTCTCAAACTTAAATATTATAAATATTATACCGGTTATAAATATTATATATTTATAAAATTACATATTTCCGAAAATGTAATTTTGTTTGTTTGTTTTTTACTTCAAATATTGTAGAACAACACTCGAATGTAATTTTCTTTTAACTGAAGCCCTTTATTGAACACTGTCTGTGCACACGCGCATGCGCTGCTTTTTAACCTCTTTTTTGTCTTTCAACAATAATGTGATGTCATTAGAAATCTGACTTTTGCAGTGGAGGCCAACAACATATCGAGCCTAAAACGGGAAAGCAACATATGACGTCATGACGTACAGACACGTTGCGTGTCGTCATCAAGCGGTGGTTCTTTGCAAGAATGGCTTCCTGTGTCATGTCTGTCCCTGCTCTGTGAGGTGAAACCTCACTGCTGCGCGTAATACACAAACTAAACACGCAGAACCGGACATAGAGGCTTCGCGAGCGGCGCCGCGGTGCCCGAGGGCTCGCCATGCTGCTGCCTCAGCTGCCAGAGGATCTTCTCTATTACATCTTCTCTTATTTGGACCACAGATCTCTCAGTCGCCTCTCTCAAGTTTGTAGAAGCTTTTACCGCTTTGTAAACCGGGACGCTGTTTGGAAGAAGATTGCTAAAGAGCTTTTAAACACCGGCATTACTCGGGAGGGGAAGGACATGTAAGCAAACAGTCGCACACTTCTGAGCAAGCTGCTGGGTGTTTTTAGCTTAGCGTTAGCTAACTGTGCGATTGTGGCGTGCAGTGTTGATTGGCCGGTGCTGCTGCCGCACTGCATACAGAGTGACAGCGGAGCTCACACCTGCGGCCGCAGCATGTTGTTGTGTGTAACCATGAACGCTGTGGTCCCAGTGCATCATTTACATAAACCAGTAAACAGACTTCAGTTTACTTTAAATAAAAGTGATTAACTTTAAATCACTCTCAGCACTTTTAATTGAATGACAGTGATAAACGCGACTAAGTAGCTTTTCATGAAATGCGATGTGGCCGCAGCATCACCTGCTTTGGCTTAAACGTACACGTGTTGCTATGAGGGAGTAAGTGTCCACATCTGTGACCACTAACATCGAGACAGCTGCCCTGACGCTGCTGCAGTGTTTGAACCAAAGCTTTCACACCTGACACCAAGTCCTGACCCTAGTATTCAGTTTAAGGTGCAAACACTGTAAAGTCAGGACCCAGAGTAGGACTCGTGGTGGTGTCCTCATCAGGTCTGTTATTTTGTTTGTTTTTTCACCCTTATGTTCAGGTTTTAGATCATTCCAGTCAGTTAGAAAACTGGAGTTTCAGACCTCTGATTGTCTGGCTTTTCAAAATAAAGCGCACCACTGATAGTACACTGAGCAGTAATATGCATTCTAGTTACCAGATATTTATGCAAATATCGAATTAGCCAATCATATGACAAGATCAAGTATCATAATGGAGAAGAGAGTTAAACGTAAATGTTTGGTGACAGAGAGCTGCTCTACGTTTTTGAAAAGACGCTAGCTTTTATAGAGAACGATCCAAAGAAGTGTGTCAGTGTGGACCCACTGAGACACACTGGGTCCTGGGTTCACCGGGCACTTCCTGGATGAGTCTGTTGATTGCTCCCTACACTCGCCTCCTCTGACATCACGTGTCGGTCTATCAACGTTGCCTCACACTGTCCAGGATCTTAATGATGCCCTGGTCCAGATCTAGGGTGAGATCACTCAGGACACCGTTTGTCGCCTCGTTAGACACATGCGGGAGCACAGAGCACATCTTGAGTTGCTGCAATGAAATTTGGACTGGCTTCATCATTTTTTCACTTTGTTTCTGCAGGTGTCTTTGTATTCAGCCCTGTATGGTTTTCATTTCTAACTCCTTTCAGTCTAACACACTGTCCAGTCCATATGCAGGATGATTTTAGTTCCCACGGAGATCTGACGTGTTCCTTTCATTGTTTTTGAACTTTAGATGCACTTCTTCTCACCTTTATGTGAGCAAGCACAGTTCTTAAAGAGGACAGCCTGCATGAACAAATAAGATGAAAACCACTGTCGTCATAGTGATCTCCACTTGTTCAGGCTAACATTAACTAAACCTGACTGTTGAATTTTCTTTGCAGTAAAATCCCACCAAAACTGTTTGCATAGAGTCCCAGCAGGAAGCTGAAAGAAAAAATCATCTGTGTAAACTGAGGCTGCAGCTCTCTATTTGTAATCTATCAATGAATCGAAAGACTTTAGTTTTATTCATGAGCAACAACAAATATTCAAGAGAAAAAACAGGTCTTTTAAAGTGAGTGCTCACTGGTTTCAGTGCTTTTAAATGTAACTCCATACTAA